GCAATATAAGTTACGCTGACAGAAGCCTTGCTCGCCGCTTATTGGGCGTGGGGGAGGTGTGGTTAATTAGGTCAATGGATGGGGAAAGCGTTTCCTTTTGACATAGAGCAGTTACACAGGAGGTCTTACAATTGTACTGCTCTAAGCTCCGTAGTGTAGGCATGGCCTTAATCTAGTTTTAAAAGCTTGGATGAGTCAGCTGTAAGACAGCAATCTGTGAAGAACAACGTTGGCAATATCGAAAAGCTTCACATTAGCTGGGATTTCCTCCCTCCCCCCCAAAAAAATCACCCTTTGTAGGCCCTAAAGGGCCACAAAACTAGGTTAGCGTCAACAATATTCCATGAAAAAAAAAAAAAAAAACGGCTATCAAACTTTTAATGGCTCTCATGAAAAATCATTTGTTTCTGATTAACTGTCCCTGAATAACTCCATGTGTTGACATTCATTCTGTTTAGATTGTACAGCTGTTTCACTATAAATTAACACCCTTCCTTAACCCAAATTAACTGTCAAGTGTAGACAAGACAGTTTTAGCTTGAGAGACAGTAGGGGGAAAAAAATCAACCACAGTCCAAGCTAGGGATGTGAAAGTGTAACTGAGTACATGGCTAACTGATGAATCTGGGCTCATCAGTTAATGCTCATGGTTACATGGAGGATCCTGGCACATGGGGGAAGCCAGCTTTTAAGACGGCTCTCTGCACAAACCAGCTCCCAGAGAGCTGATGCCTCTGCATCAGTGGAGGGGGCAGGCAGAAGCTGGTACATGCGGGGGAGCTGGCTTTTAAGCCAGTTCCCCGTGCACACTGGCTCCTAGGAAACTGCCTGCCCCCTGCATGTAACTACTGAAATTTTCAGTGGTTACCCAGTTACTTCATTAAATGCATTTTAGCATCCCTAGTCCAAGTTATGGTGCTGACATTCCCTATCTATGTAATAAACACTACAAATAACGTGTCTTCCCACAGGATCTTGCAGCCAGAGAACTACTGCACATTTGTTATCCAGTTTAAAAGAATTGTCAGTGAAGACAAATCTTAAGAATTTCACCATTCCAGGGGATTTTTAGTAGGCATCGTTCTGCCAGCCTTGGTCCCGGGGTCATCAAATAATTGTGTAACCACTAGGAATTGCTGCAGTTATACGATTATTAAATTAAACAATTTCCAACATCCCTACTCAAAACAAAGACTTTACTGAAACATTCTGTCCATTAAACTGCCTCCCACAGTGAGCAGGCAAGTTGTCCCATAACACCCTGTAAATGCAAACACAGAGCCAACTAGTAAGTTGGGGTGCTAATAAATATGCTCCCAGATAGCCGTACTGCTCGTCTCAGCCAGATAAAGTGCAAGTGAAAACACAAGTAGAGATGGCACAATAGTTGTGGGTGCACTCTCGTGTGTTAGGTGACCACTGGTTAGCTATCCCACCATTGTTTACCCTACAGTGAAGATAAGGCCTTATTGACCAGTTAAATAAAATATACAGGATCAGCTATTAACACATATAAGTAGAAACAGGCTTACCAGAAAAAGACCAACAGTCCATTTAATATATCCCTACAGTATATCCATCATATTGTACTATCCTGGATATTTCACAGGAATACAAAAGAAATAACAAAGGATCTGCCCAGTTATACAGTCAGAAGACGGGAAGGGGCAGGTAGTTTATGGCAAGTAGGTTATGTCCAAGAACAGGACACAAGCCGGTAGCATTTCAAAGCACTGGGTGATATTTAAACCTGTACTGAAGCTCTGACACACCACATATATAGAGAGGTATCTCGCATTTCAAAGCACTGGGTGATATTTAAATCTGTACTGAAGCTCTGTGACACCACATATATAGAGAGGTATCTAAGTCAGCCTATGGCAGCTGTTTGAAGATTATGGAACCCCCTTTGTGTCTTAGCCAACAGACTTCTCTCAGTAAAATGGATTTTCATTGACCATGGCTTTCTGTGCACTTTTACTGAGCATTTAATAGCGGATATGCATGCACACTCAGTGCACCAGTAGTAAATAATTCACTGTTTGAAATGCATTTTGGAATACCTTCAATAGAGACAGTGCTTCCATTAGAGCTTTGACAGCTGCTTCAGATGAAGGGGGGAAAATGACAGTTTGCATTTTGTTTGACTAGATTTTTTTAAAACGGGTGTTTCTAACAAAGCACCTTCAATAGTAACCCTGAATTATTTTTTTTTCTTCGTTTGCTATTGTTTAGAAAGAGCTCTCCCACCCCGATCCACACTTCTTCTTCAGTAGCAGCAACATCGGGGCAAAGTCCCTAAATCTTGGATTTAGTCATGTCAGGAAAGACCGCACAAACCTCCTTCTTTTGCCCCCTGCCCAACTACATCTGCTCTCCAGTCACATGGAGAGGGTGGGGGCCACCTCCTTCTGCCCTACAACTAAGTGCCTCTTCTGGTCCCAACAGAAGAACATAAGAACGGCCGTACTGGGTCAGACCAAAGGTCCATCTAGCCCAGTAGCCTGTCTGCCGACAGTGGCCAGCACCAGGTGCCCCAGAGAGGGTGGACCGAAGCCAATGATCAAGCGATTTGTCTCCTGCCATCCCTCTCCAGCCTCTGACAGACAGAGGCCAAGGACACCATTTTATCCCCTGGCTAATAGCCTTTTATGGACCTAACCTCCATGAAATTATCTAGCTTCTCTTTAAACTCTATTATAGTCCTAGCCTTCACAGCCTCCTCTGGCAAGGAGTTCCACAGGTTGACTACACGCTGTGTGAAGAAGAACTTTCTTTTATTAGTTTTAAACCTGCTACCCATTAATTTCATTTGGTGTCCTCTAGTTCTTCTATTATGGGAACTAATAAATAACTTTTCTTTATCAGCCCACTCCACACCACGCATGATTTTATCGACCTCTATATAAAAGGATGGGGGAATGGACACCGCTGCTAGTAACAGGAGCTTTCCAGCCCTATGTCAGGGTTTGAGAAATGTGAATGCTCCACCAACCCTTGTTCATCCCCATCTGACTCCTGTATGGAAAAAAATGTAACAACATCAAGATTCCTTCTGCTACTTCAGTCAGTATGGGGGGGGGTCTAGTAAGGGAAGGATCCATCAGCACCCCGCCCAAGGTAGTGCAGGGGGCCAGGTGGGAAGCCAGTGCTCATGGGAAACTGGCTCCGCCTCCCCCTCCGCTACCTCTGATATATAGGCAGTGGGGGGGGAAGGAAAGGAGCTTGCCGGTAACCCTCATGGTTACATGAATGAACTCAGACTCGTCGGTTAACCGTTTAAACGAATACACTAGCACAGTGTTTCTGAACTTTTTTTAGAAAGTACCCCCTTTTCAAAAAAAAATGATAAGTACCCCCAATACCTACAGTTTTTGGACAATTTTTTTTCTATCATTGCAACACATTTGTTTACCAACTTAATCGTAGCCGGACACGCGATGAAATTTTTGGATGTAAAAAGTACAAAAATAATAAAACGCTGAAAACTTAAAACAAACACTCAGTTTTCTGCAAATTTCAGTTATGTTGACGTACCTCCCAGACGTCTGTTGAGTACCCCTAAGGGTACTCATACCACTGGTTGAGGAACGCTGCACTAGCATATCCCTAGTTTCTACGACAACTTCTTCCAGTCTTTTGGAATCAGACATACTCCCATAGTACCTTAAAGAAAAAGACTCAATCTACAAATTACACCCGTCACCTGATGTCACAAAGCTTCTATACACAGAAATACGGTTGATATAAAGAGCTGCTCTAGGTGCAAAGCATTGGAGGATCTTGTCATGGCTTTCTAGTTTTGGAAGCCAGTCTTGGTATCATCAGTTATAAATCTACTATATATCTGAGAGTTTGTGTCGGTCTGTCTGTTCAAGAAGTCCTCCTAAATGGTGAAAACTAGGACAACCGAATTTGATATGCAGCTTCCTCTTATCATACAGCAAGGCCAGGGTTTGGTTGTGCCAGGACAATGGGATTGTGTCTCTGAAAACCATACAGAAAAGAGACAGAATCACCAGGTAGATGAAAGGAGTTGGCTGAGGACGCACTCCCCCCATCCGGGACTTCTCCAGCCTCAAGCCTCCCACCCCTGACACTCCCTTTAGGGGAGGGGTAGCAGAGGCTGAAGGTCCCCTCCGCCCAATTTGTACAGGACCATTGTTGGCTGCTCTCCTGTGTCATGAAGCAAGGCCAAATTGCGCGGTTTGATACATTGATCACTCTGGCTGGGGAGTTCAGGGAGTGGACGAACCTGGACGCAGACTAGCTGGGGGACGTGCACCCCTCCCCTGGTCAGGGGCGGACTGGCCTGGCGGGATACCGGGAATTTCCTGGTGGGCTGTTGTATCCACCCGTGACGGGCCACCATTGCCCCGATGGATCCTGACCCGCCACTTGTGCTGCATGCCAGACATGACGCAGGGAAAGGGGGCGGGGCTTGAGGGCACGCAGGGGTAACGTCATGGGGAGGGCCGTTCCCAGGCCTATTTTGATTGCCAGTCTGCTCCTGCCCCTGGTTGTGCCTGCTGGAGCTGCAGTGGCCATAGAGAGGTGCTTCTCACTCAGTACCAAGCTGCTGAAGTGAGAGCGGGCTGGGGCAGCCTCTTTTCCCAGTGCAGTGAACCCCTCATCTCTAGTCCCACCCCAGAACAATTATTTAAATGAAGAAGGGGCATTTTTCATTTTGTTTCACAAAAAAAACCCACAAAAATTAATTGAGTTAAGGGCCTGAGCAACGCCAAGTAAATCTTCTAATTACTTCATAATACAGGTGGAACCTTTCTAGTCCAGCACCCCTGGGACCTGACCGGTGCCGAAGCGGAGAATTTGCTGGACCACGGGAGGTCAGTATTGCCTAGCAACATTACCAACACTTCCACTGCAGACGGGGCTCTGAGAAGACATTTAGGGGTAAATTAGAGCTAAATACCAGCACAGAACACTGAGAGCCAGGACTGGGGGCTATAAATAAACTTTATGAGACCGTGTGAACCTTGGCCACACCCATGATAAGCAGACATCCAGCTAACTAACATCATGCCAGACAACAGATATTGCTGGACTAGAAAGTGCTGGACTGGAGAGGTTCAATCCTATAATATTAAAAGAGGCCCAAAGTGCAGAACAATCTTAATGACAAAGATTATTTTATTATGATTCAAGACTTCATAGTTTGCCTCTCTAATTATTAAAACATAGCAATTATTCCTTATTTTCAAAAACTCTTCTTGAAGTATTCATATAAAGTCATCAAGTATTAAAATAGTTTGCAAAATTCAATTTAAAAAATTGTTTTCCAAAAGGCTCTGACACAAATTAGGTGTCTATTCAAGAACATTTCATTGGGGAGAGGGGGGGGACGGACAGACAACTTTTCTTGGACCCATCAACAGGCAAACTATAAAACTCATAAGATTCCTTAGTGGTCAAACCATTAATAAAGGATTTAATAATAGTCATTCATTATAGGTTCTACTGAGAGGTAATGAACCTTGATACTAGCTAATTACACTTGTCTTCACTTTGGAATTTGTTTCTCTGTCACAATCCATTATCTTCTGGTAGAGCAGAAGAAAGGACAATTAAACACAAGTCTGATAAAACCTCTCAAGCCTGACTCACTAAAACGCCAAAAAAACAAACTCAGTTTAAGTAGGTTTCAATATTTTTATAAATCACATTCTCCAGACCATAAGATAACCCTTTCAAAAATATTTTTAAAAGGGACACAGTGCAGCATCAATGAACCAGCCATTTAAAAAACAAATGTGAATGTGAAGTTATTAAATATAGTTCCAAAGTTTTATTTAATTAAAAAAAAAAACAGATTTGGGCACTATTTATACCTGGTCAAATTCCACACTGCACAACAGAGAAAGTTTGTATTTTTTGTTCTTCAAAATGTATTCTTGCTTTTAGACTGATAGATACTTATAAAAATACGCACAACACATTCCGAAATTGGCTGCCACCGAACGTGTAAAAAGGAGTTGAATGCAACAAGCCAATGTTGGTTATCAAGTAAGAGAACTCTTCCCTCCCATCCCCCCACACCTATACCAAGATTTAAATGTACTGGGCAGCTCATTATTACAGTCATACAGGGATTTATTTCTTATTTACATTAGACTGCTGTGATTAAGAAAGTGCTTCCCTCGTCCCATCTCTTGGCAATTTCTGAAATTCCTACAGCAAGGAAAACCCATACAAATGTCTCAAAAATCACAGATCGAGGTAAACACTGTGCTGTCATATTTAACAAGAAATATAAGCCATCAAATATAGAAATTAGAGGAAAAATGTTCAGTCTGAAAAGTTATTATATTGCTCATCAGAGTCAGTGCAGAGGGGGATAGATGGTGGTGATTCCTAGTTGATCTTCCTTGGTCTTTTCCTCTAGAAGGCTCCTTTTAAGCCACCAACAACATACAATTCTGGTTTGGAGTGGCTTTGATCATGAGCATTTAGAACAGCAATTTCAGGGGTGATTTATAAAAGTCGGGCACAACTAGACAAGTAAGTTAGCACCGCTTCTTCCAAGCACAACACCAATCTAGCTGCTTTAGAAAATACTACTATGCGAAAATTGCTTTGTTAGACTGTATTTCCCATTCACTACCACAGCAATATGCATACAGTCTCCAAACATCTCTCCTAACCCAGACAAAGCACTAAGATCTGAATTCCAGGTGCGATAATTAACTTCCACCAAAACAAACCTGCACAAACCAGCCGTCCCCTGTGTGTTCCCCGCAGCCACACAAGCCACAGGGAAGCAAAAGAGAGCTGAGCTTTTAAAAAAAGAACCACCCTACGCACTCTAGCACTGCAGCACCAGCTGATTCCGGTACCATGCAGCCCGGTGGCGTAGTCTGTACTTTGCTGCACTTCGTCCAGCTCCAAACCCCGCTGCCATGGGACAAACGCACCCCACGCACTCTAGTTACCACTTGCATATAGAAACTGTTGCCAGGCTATGGCCAGCGTCCCTTCTCCACCCACTGAAGCAGCACGATACACAAACTGAGGAGGAAAGCAAACAGGGTCTGGTCTGGGCGCAGCGAACGGGCCCCTACTATGAATCCAAAAGATAAACTAGCAGCCGCGTTAGCATTAAACTCTCAAGGCTTGCCCTGGAGGAATCGCTAATCTGCACCTACAACCATCACACTGCGAGGAACCTGCACTTAGCTGCCACTCTCGCCCCACAGCCCCTTCCAACATTTCTCCCCCAGCCCTTTAAATGCAGCTGCTGCGGCGAAGGCAAACCCTGATCTGAACAAGGACCTCCGCCCGCCCCAGGCCCTAGGGCAGGAGTAAAAGAAACAAGCTTACATTTTGGTTCCTCTTGCTATACAACCATTCCGAGCCATGTCATGTGTGATGTCACTGTAGTACCAGTATGTGGAAGTACTATGGGAATTGTAGTCTTCTCCCTATTTATTGTGTAAGAGCTACAAAATTCAAGCTCCAGCTACTGGACTGCAAATGCGAGAGCGTGGAAACAGCCTCCTTGCTAGACTCAGAGGGGTAGCCGGTTAGTCTGCAACTGAAAAAACGTAAAAAACAACTAATAGTCCTGCAGCACCTTAGAGACTAACAAAAAGCGTAGATGGGATCATGAGCTTTCCTGAGCGGCTTTTGAACATTGGAAGAAGTGGGTTATGCCCACAAAAGCTCATGATCCCATCTACATTTTTGTTAGTCCCTAAGGTGCTGCAGGACTATTTGTTGTTCTTTAAGTTTTCTCCGTACTAGAGAGGATTATTGGAGCTGCCTGGGGAAAAAACTAAATGTCTAACCAATGTGGGCACAGTGGAAAAAGCAAAAAAGCTGCAGAGTTTAATTATTCTTATTCCTCGCTGAAGATGAAGTAATGCTTCCAATAGGCATTTAAATTGTAGACAGAAAGCACCACCCTTTGGGAACACGTTACTAGCTGGGGATTTAATTGTTTTAACTTTAAGGGAGTACAAGAATTGTAATAATAAATTAGTCCCATATATTACTAGGTGAGAGGTGGAAGAGTAATTTTCTACGAAAAAGTAATTCACTGACTATACCTGGTATATTGTTTTGGTAAATGTGGCAGTAAAAGAAAGAAAGGGGGAAAAAACGATTTCCCTCACAAAACTGTTGGTCCAATAAAAGATACTGCCTCATCCATGTGTCTTTTCAACACAAAAAGTCATGGCTTGTCTCACCTAGTCAGCCCATTATTGAGTGAAGACTTAGAGACGTTTTTGTTCGAATTATTTTTTTAAAGACATTTAGCTCTACATCCAGGATAGAGGAATATTTTTAATTATTTTAAACTATTTGATTATAGAAACATGACTTCTTCCACCATTGCTATGAATGAAGCAGTACTAACGCTAGCAATGGTGGGGTTTTTTTTCCAGAAAAATGTCTGAGGTAGACAACAAAGCTTGTGTATTAGCAGTGGTGCAAACCAGGTTCACTAAACTGACACAGAAGAGAGAGGAAACAGAACCCCTATTAGCAAGTGACCCTACCTTCCACAGCTGCTTGTCAGGATGGGATAGGCCAAGGATGGCCAGAGGCTACATCTAGACTGCCCCCTCTTGTGCAAGAAAATATGCAAATGAGGCAAAGCAGTGAATATCACCATATCTCATTTACAGACATAGTTTGGCCACACCTCTTTTTCATGTAAAAACAATTACTCCAACTTCAGGCTGCATTATAACAGCCCCTCTGTGGCTCTGTTTTGTTGCAAAAAGGCATATTTTGGCAACAACATAGCTCCATGCCGAAAAAAAGTGGCAGCCATTTTTATGCTAATGAAGCACGGGAGATTTAAATCCCTGCTTCATTAGCAATTGCGATACATCTAATTTACATCCCTTTTCCGAAAAAGGGATGTAGTCTAGACGTAGCCCTTATGTATTAACACACACTCATTATTCCAAAACACAGCTGGCTTTGCATAAGTAAACATAGCTGTGCTTCATCAGTGATAACTGTGAAAGAGTAGTCAAGACAACCCAGCAAGTTTTACTGCACAACAAAGAAAAAACAGCATGCCTGATGCACACCACTCTCTCATGTTCTGCAATAGCAGGTTTTATAGAATGCAAGTCTCCACCTATTATCCTGTCTAGCAAGTTAGTTGGCTCAAGATTCACAAATGGTTTAGGTGAACAGTAATGATTGACTAAAATATTGAAAATGCCAGTAAAGCTACAAATATCTGTAAGTGATTGTCTTGCAGCTATTGTGCGAATTTACATCAGGAAAAAAACAATTAAATTAAATTTATCGAACTACCTAGTATGCATGCTATTATACCAGTAGAAGAGTAATAATATTGGCAGAACTCAAGCAGTACAGCTCCCTATTGTGAATTCAAATGAATTGTTCAAAAACTTTGTATACACATAGATAAACATGGCCAAATGGACACTTTAAAACTTGTGACAATAGACCATTTTTCTCACACTTTTAATAAGATGGAAAGATAAAACAATAGTCACCCCCATACAGTACTAAAAAATGTGTGTGGGGGGGAGGGGAAGAAATCTCAGACTGTGAGTAACAGCTTCAGTAAATGATGAAAACATGCCCCTCAATGACCCAGCAAGATTTTTAATTTTTCTTTCCAGGTCTGCAAACTCCCTCAGAAAACATTAACAGCACAGCTGAGTGAAGGTTCGAACATGACCTAGCATAGCGGTTCTCAAATAAGAGGTCCAGGGCCCACTGGGGGTCTTGCAAATGAGTTTCAGGGGGGTCACCAAGCAGGGCTGGCATTAAGACTTGATGTTACACTGGTCAGAAAGCTGAAGCCTAACCACATGGAATTGACGTCCAGGAACCTGAGCCCTGCCATCCGGAGCTGAAGACAAAGCAACTTAAGAGTTGCCAGGCCCTGGAGCATGGGATCTCAGGCAATAGCCCTGTTTGCTACCCAGTAAACCTTGCCATGTCTTTCAAATACAGAGCCCTGCAAATCCACAGGTTACGTCCACACTACGAGTTTTCCTCTGCAAAAAACAATGCTAATGAAGGACTCATTTGCATGAGTTGTGATCTCATTTGCATATTTTCTGCCAATCCATTTTTGCACTACTGTTTTTGCACAAAAACACCAGTGCAAAACCAGATTGGCAGAAAATATGCAAATGAGATCACAACTCATGCAAATAAGTCCCTCATTAGTATATGTTTTGCAGAGAAAACTTGTAAGCTATGTCTACACTGGCACGATCTTGTGCCAGAAATATGCAAATGAGGCTAAGCATGGAATATTGCTGAGCCTCATTTGCATATCTAATGAGCCACCATTTTTGCAGAGCCACCATTTTTGCCATCTACACTGCCCCTTCTTGCGCAAAAAACCCCCCTCTTGTGTAATGCTGTTACGCTGATTATTTTCAGGAATAACAGCATTGTGTAAGAGGGTTTTTCTTGCGCAAGAAGGGGCAGTGTAGACGCTTCTTCGTGCACAAGAGCCTTTTCCACAAAAATAGCAGCTCATTAGATAAGCAAATTAGGCTCGGCAATATTCCACATTTAGCCTCACTTACATATTTCTGGTGCAAGATCATGCCAGTGTAGACAAAGCCGTAGTGTACATGTAGCCACAGAGGCAAATATGGATGCAGATTTTATATCTAGAACCCTGCAAATATGCACTTTATATCTCTGTGTATCCACATCCACAGGTATTAACGCGGATAGCCACAGCTGAATTTTGTGGCTACCTATGTGGATACACATTTTTTAATCAGCATGGGGCACTACTTATATGCAGAAAAACAGCTGGGCCATGCATTTCTTTTGGCATGTAGGACAAGGAGTTCTGGGGAAGGGGGGAAGAAAAGGTCCAGAGCCCCACAGCTAGTGAGCACTAAGACAACTATTAAGAGTAGGTATGTCAAATTAGGGTTAAACAGTTAACGGGTTTAAACAAAATGTTTAACCAGTTAATTGTGAACCCAACTGCTAGGGCCTGCTCCAACCTATATAGGGCTCAGCGCCACAGGATACTCCAGCCAGGCAGGGCTGAGTCCACTGTGCTGTGGGCATGGGCTACTCTAGCTGGACCAGACTCCGGTACACCACCCCCTCCAGGGACTGTCAATGCTGGTGTCTGGCCTGCATCCTGCCTGCCCCACATAGGGCAGAGCTGCCAGGGCTACCTGGGTCCTGGTTGTCCTGTCTGGTCCCACCACTCATTAGGCCTGATGCTCACCCCGTAACCATGGGCAACCCTAGTCGAGACCCCAAGCAGCAGGCAGGCAATGGGGCTACCAACTGCCTCTGGGGGGTCAGCCGGGCAGCAGCCCACCCCAGGCACTGGGGACAGCCCTGAGAGCCCCCAGGGCCCGCGCAGGGCTACCTGGGTCCTGGTTGTCCTGTCTGGTCCCACCACTCATTAGGCCTGATGCTCACCCCGTAACCATGGGCAACCCTAGTCGAGACCCCAAGCAGCAGGCAGGCAATGGGGCTACCAACTGCCTCTGGGGGGTCAGCCGGGCAGCAGCCCACCCCAGGCACTGGGGACAGCCCTGAGAGCCCCCAGGGCCCGCGTGCACCACTCCCCCCACCGGCCCAGGAGACCCCCGGCACAGGGAAGCGGCCGCCTCCGGCTGAGGAGGGGACCGCCCACCCCGCCAGTACCTGAGGGGACCCACGTCCCACATGAATCGGCTCCCCCCTCCCGCCCGCGGGCTTTCCCGGCCGACCAATCTGCGAGCAGAGCGGGACGAAGAGAAAGCGCCTAGACAACCGTGGGGGGAGGGGGGAAGAAACGATTGTTAAGGCGGGAAGGGCCTGGGGCGAACCATGTAGGAAAGGAGGGAACCATTTCAGAACGGGGGGTGTGTGTGCAAATTATTTCAGGGTAGGGAATGAAGAGCGGGGTCGGAGCAAACGATTCCAGGGTTAAAAGGGTTGGGACAAACCATTTCAGGGTTAGCAGAGTGCATGCCTGGAGGGGTTGGAGCAAACCATGTCAGGGCTGGGAAGGAAAAGAGGGGGGTGGGGCAAACCAACTTGAGGCCAGCAGGGAGAGCTTGGAGGTTGGGAGGCAAACTGTTTCAGGGTTAGAAGAGGGTATGTTGGGGCAAACCATTTCTGGGTTTGAAAAGTGTGGGGAGAGTTGGGGGAAACCATTTCAGGGCTAGAAAAGGGGGAGTTGGGGCAAACCATTTCAGACCTGGAAGGGTGTGCAGGAGAAGTTGGGGGTAAACCATGTCAGGGCTGGGAGGAGAGCTTGGA